ACTCCCTCCAAAGGTTTTCTATGGGGTTGAGATCTGGAGACTGGCTAGGCCACTCCAAGACCTTGAAATGCTTCTTACGAAGCCACTCCTTCGTTGCCCCAGGCGGTATGTTTGGGATCATTGTCATGTTGGAAGACCCAGCCACGTTTCATCTTCAATGCCCTTGCTAATGGAAGGAGGTTTGCACTCAAAATCTCACGATACATGGCCCCATTCATTCTGTCCTGTACATGGATCAGTCATCCTGGTCCCTTTGCGGAGAAACAGCCCCAAAGCATGATGTTGCCACCCCTATGCTTCACAGTAGGTATGGTGTTCTTTGGATGCAACTCAGCATTCTCTCTCCTCCAAACACAACGAGTTGTGTTTCTACCAAACAGTTCTATTTTGGTTTCATCTGATCATATGACATTCTCCCAGTCCTCTTCTGGATCATCCAAATGCTCTCTAGCAAACTTCAGACGGGCCAGGACATGTTCTGGCACTGCAGGATCTGAGTCCCTGGTGGCGTAGTGTGTTACTGATGGTAGCTTTTGTTACGTTGGTCCCAGCTCTCTGCAGGTCATTCACTAGGTTCCCCCGTGTGGTCCTGGGATTTTTTGCTCACCGTTCTTGTGATCATTTTGACCCCACGGGGTGAGATCTTGTGTGGAGCCCCAGATCGAGGGAGATTATCAGTGGTCTTGGATGTCTTCCATTTTCTAATGCTCCCACAGTTAATTTGTTCACACCAAGCTACTTGCCTATTGCAGATTCAATCTTCCCAGCCTGGTGCAGGTCTACACTTTTGTAGGGGGTAGGTAAGTGAGCGCAAACAGATAGGGTAAGCAGCTAACATACAGGGTAATCCTCAGTACCTTAGAATGTAAAATGTAGATGGGGTATGTAGCGCTGTTGGCATGTGACGTCATTCACGCATGCGCGGTAATCCGGAGTGGCGCTTAATGCGCATGCACGACCGCGGCTATTTCTATTTGGCGTCTGGGGGGGGCAGGATCTACCCCTTTGAAAATGAGCTTTCGCTCGAAACATGTTAGGGGATCCACCCTACTGACGCCTTTACTACCAGGGAACCACTAGCCACCAGGGAATCTCTTTACTAGACCTGGATGAGTATTCTTTAATTGCAAGTCTTGATGTATATGCTTTTATGCTGATGAAACCACTAGCCACCAGGGACTTATCAAATAGACCTGGATGTGTATGTCTTTCATGCTGAGTGAACCACTAGCCACCAGGGAGCCTATGTATTGGGCCTGGATATATTCTTTTATACCAATGTGAGTTCCTTCTTTTAGTTTACATTTAATACTCTAAATAAACGTACTTCACCATTAGTACCTTCTTGCCTCCTGGCTCGTTTTTTTAATGAGCTTTGCAAGGTGGTGATCTGGAATCAAGAGCCAGAGGGGGCCTGGACAGCGTTGGACCTGTTGACCCGGATGTCCTAATGTGACCAGATGTTGCCCATGCTGCTGACCAGACCATGATGCCTGGTTGCTGTTAATTTACATACAATGCTCATATTGTGTGTACTTGTGGTAAGCTCACAACCTCACTAATCTTTTCTCACTCCATTGAACGGGATTTGGAACATCATTTGATCATATCCACCTTCCTTCCTGCTACATTATATGAACTACTTTATTGTTACTATATATGGTGACACTCTCTTTGTTTGATATTTGTTCAGGTCTACACTTTTGTTTCTGGTGTCCTTCGATGGCTCTTTTGGTTTTCACCATAGTGGAGTTTGGAATGTGACTGTTTGAGGTTGTGGACAGGTGTCTTTTATACTGATAACAAGTTCAAACAGGTGCCATTGATACAGGTAATGAGTGCAGGACAGAGGAGCCTCTTAAAGAAGAAGGTACAGGTCTGTGAGAGCCAGAAATCTTGCTTGTTTGTAGGTGACCAAATACTTATTTTTCACCATAATTTGCAAATAAATTCTTTCCAAATCAGCCAATGTGATTGTCTGGATTTTTTTTCTCATTTTGTCTCTCATAGTTGAGGTCTACCTATGATGTCAATTACAGGCCTCGCTCATCTTTTAAGTGGGAGAACTTGCACAATTGGTGGCTGACTAAATACTTTTTTGCCCCACTGTATCTTTGCCTTCACCGACATACAATGGGCATCCAACACTCAGTTATACTGTCCTCCAAGCTGCAACTTGGTTGAAACCTACCTGAGGGATTGTTTGTGAAGTGGGATCTCTCATTGGTGTGGGACTTGTTTGCATCAGATGCCTTCAATCAAAATGGCTACTTGTGGTACCTCTCGCTGAAACTGCTTTCCTGGTGGCAATTACATCAGCCAGAAAAGTGTCCGTATTAGCAGCCCTGGGTTTTAAAAACCCTTTCTTTTGTTCTCATGCTGATGCTCAAGATCGTGCCAAAGTGTCCTTCATAGTCCATATCACATGGAAAGTTGTTCTTCCCACATCCCTTTTGGGGAGTACCCAAGATGTTAGCCCATCAGTTGTGGGTCAAGCTTTAAAATATAACATCAAGGCGACATCTGACATCAGGAAGTCAGAGCACTTGTTTATCATTCCAGGTAAAGCGTGTAATGATTTTATGGCTTCCAACAAGATTATTGCCTCCTGGTTGGTGAAGCTCATTTCCATGGCCTACAAGTTGAAAGGGTTGGCTGCAGCAGGGGGCATCACTTCACTGTCTACCCAAAGGGTTTCGACTTTGTGAGCAGCAGCAGGCTGAGTGTGCCCAGACACTATCTGCAAGTCAGCTACGTAGGGGGGGTCAATACATATGTTCATGGCTCATTACTGTATAGAATTCTTAATGACAGTTGAGTTTGGCAGAGGCATCCTGGCTGCTGCTTTTTAGACAGAATTGAGGAGTGTGTAGCATTATCCCTGCCCTGTTTGGCTAGTTAGTTCCCAGTTGTGCTGACATGGAGCTGTCAGGAAAACTGAATAACAGATACTTACTGTAATTTTCCTTTCCTGACTGGCTCCATGTCAGTACAGCCAAATTCCCAGCCAGCTTGGTATGACTAGTTACAGAACACTGAGGCTGGGAGGAAAAAATGGGAAAAATCAGGATTGAAAGAGAAATATAGAAAACTCTAAACTAGGAAGTTATTTTAAGTTATTGGGCCTGGAGAGAAATGGAGATCTTGCAGAGGGGAGGGAGGGGGGAAGGGGGGAAAAGGTGGGTTGGGAGGGAAGGGAAAAAAAAAAAGAGGTAAATAGAAGGGACAAAGTAGAAATGTTGAGAATATTTATATGTATTGTGTCTCTTTTTTACGGAATTTTTGTAATAACACGAAAAATTAAAATTAAAAAAAAAAAAAAAAAAGAACACTGAGGCTGCAGGTGGGCTAAAATTTATGAGTTAGGTCCTGGAAGCATGGGGGAGTGGGGGCCTTTACCCAGCTGTGCTGACATGGAGGAAAGGAAAATTACGGTAAGTATCTGTCATTCAATTTTCCATTTTTCTTGCATGAAAACATTTCTAACAGTGTATGTGATTTTCATTAGGTAAAGTCCATTCATTCTTAAATCAAATATCAAAAGCAAACTAAATCTTTGGCATTTGAAAGTTTTGAAAATTGTTGTACAAATTTTCCAAAGACTTTTTTAAAGAATTTTTGCTTGAAATTCTATCTATGGCCAGCTATCCTTTTGTGTCCACTCTTTCATTTACCTACAGATCAATGGGATTAATGTAAATCTGCAGATGCTGTCAGTTAAATCGAAATGAAACTCATTAAAGAAAAACAAAAAAAACCTGACAGGTAGGATTTTAATGACAGAAGAGACCCTGTTTGTCTCAATAGTCAAAAATGCTTCACCTGGCCTGTCAGTGGTAATATACACTGAACCACATACGCACAGCTCAGACTACATTTACAGCACTGTTTCTGTGCTTTGATCATGTGACTCTCATGAGCATCGTCATTGCAGCCCGGCCATTCAAGCGGCTGAACAGAGCGAGTCCAGAAGGAAGACCGAGAGAACAGATATGTGCCCAAGTGCCAACAGAGCAGCACCGGAGGGCATCAATTGACAAGTAAGTCTGCCATACTGTGCTAAAATTCTGTGTGTACTAGAAGATTATGGCATAATCCACTTGGGTGCCCATTAAAAAAACACCCAAAAATGCACAACCTCTTTATTTGTAAATCATCTGCTTTGTACCAGAATGATAATTTTTTTTAACAGAAAAACCAGAAGGATAATTTAAGTGTAATTTTAAACAGGACAAATTAAAAGAGAAGTATGGGGTTTGTTTTTTTCCCAAAATTATACTTACCTGGATGGATGCAGCATCAGTCCAATGCTGCATCTGTCACCCGCCAGCTCTAAGTGTGATAAAAATGCTAAAACAGAAATTTTTTTTCTTTTACATTTTTATGTAAGGATTGCATAAAAATAGAAAAGTTCATTTTTGAAGGACAGTATCACATTTATCCTTACAAAAAAAATTTCTTTATCATCTTAACTGCTTTCCCGCCCACTCTGGCATCTCTTTTATGTATACTTTTGTATACTTTTTAAGTATACTTTAGAGAAACATGGACAGAGAAAAGCATGCAGGCTGCCATCATTGCTTGTTTCTGAACCCTCATACAGGCTGTCTAAAAAGTCAGCCACAAAGACAGTATTGAAGCCACTGACAGCCATGCAACTAGCATTTTCAAAATATATCATGGAAGGTCAGTTGGCTCCTATCTAAATTTCATATGCACTTGAGATGGAAGGTAAAGGACCTTAGATTGTGAGCTCTTTGATGGAACGGACTGATGTGAATGTACAATATGGAAAGCAGTGTGAAAAATTGTTGGCAATATTTAAAGATCTGTACTAATAAAACGTGGAGCACCAAAGCCAGTCTCTGGTCATTCCATAATGGTATCCTTAATGCATCAATGTGGTGAGTTGTAGAAAAACCTGATATTCAGGTTTGAAATGATCTGAAATGAATTAATGTTGAGTAACACATAAAGACAATGCACAGAAATAAAAACACCTACCGGTAATTTGTAGAATTACCTGCAGAGTTTCCTAGTAGGAAAGTTGTTTCTATTTCCTCCACAACCGCTATAGATGAATTTTTCGCATCTATCCGGGTCTTTATTATGGAAAAAGCAATCATTATGCTTCTTTCATGATCCCCTCTCTGCAGGTAATTTACTGATTGGATCTGGAAAATACAAAAACACATGAATATCAGCAACATAAACAGAGATAATGGATGATAAAAAGCAAAACTGTTGGAACCAAACCTTACAGAAAAAGTGTAATCAGGGCTGGGTATACCATTAGACTGAAGACCTGAGCTCATACCTCCAACAGGTTTCTGTAGGTCTGTTCTGTGATTTGAGCTAAAATTTTATATATAAACTATAATACTCACCACTGACAACTGACCACCAAAGCTGGGGCACTATTCCTCCCATTGATGCCAGGGCATCTTCCAGTACCACTGGGACATGCCCTTTCAAGCCACACCCAATATTCCTCTCCAGTTAGTCACATCTACATTTTTTCCCCACCCACCATTGTAAACACCGGCTGTGCCAGGATTTCCCTGATTTTTTTAAATGCTGAAATTGAGAGGTGTTTCCCCTGCAATTTTTTTCCTACCCAAAGAAATTACAGATTTTTCATATCAGGATAAAACTGAGATCATGAAAACAGTACCATACCTCAAACTAGCAGGAGGAAATGTAACCGCTTCAATACCGGGCACTTTTACACCCCCTTCCTGTTTAGGCCAATGTTCAGCTTTCAGCATTGTCGCATTTTGAATGACAGTTGCGCATTCATGCAACACTGTACCCATAAACATTTTTTAAAATCTTTTTTCACACAAATAGAGATTTCTTTTGGTGCTATTTAATCACTACTGAGTTTTTTTTTTTTTTTTTGTAGCTAAATGCACAAAAAAAACCCTGAAACTTTTGAAAAAAATAAAAATAAAAAAACTTCATAAATTTAGGTCAAAATGTATTCTGCTACATTTTGTTGGTAAAAATACCCCAAATTAGTGTATATTATTTAGTCTGTAGGAAAGTTATAGAGTCCACAAACTATGGGATATACACTATGTGTCGGGGATCGCCGCGGCGCTGGCCTCGGCGCAGGCGCAGTGCGCCGCCCTGTGCAGGGACGCGGGCACTAGGTCCTGGCTGGTCACGGCGTTCGAGTCCGCGCATGCGCAGTAGAGGCCGCGGGCGCGCACTTGGCACCAATGACAGTGCAGGGCGCGATATTTAAACGGCTCTGGGCTGTCATTCAGTGCCTTCTGGTCCTGTATCCTGTATCTGTAAACCTGTGTATTGTGAGTTACTGAGCCGGGTTGTACCTGACCTTGTTGTATTCTCCTGCCCAGATCCTTGCTTTGCTTGACCTCTCTCCTGGATGCCCCCTATTAGATCTGACCTTCTGTTGCTGACCTGGCGTGTGACCCGACTACTCTCTGCCCGCTGCTTTGTACCGCACCATCCCCACAGTTACCGACCCGGCCTGTCTGACCTCGCACTTGCTCAGCCATCCATCCATCCATCCCAACGGGGTCACCTGACCTCCTCATATCAGGCTCTTCCCCGTGGGAGCCCCTGGTGAATACTGCTACCACTGACAGGTGTACTCAGTAGCCACGACCTGGTCTCAGGGTACTCCAAGTCCATCCCCACCATCAGGGGCCCTGGTAAACAAGTACTCTGGGGCTTAGATTCCGTGTGCTGGGGACATCTGACCAGTGGAGTGCTAGTGGTACCGCTGGGCGGTCCCTTACACTATGTTACTAAAAGTATTGGACCAGCCCTCCAAATCCTTGGATTCAGGTGTTCCAATCACCTCCATGGCCACAGGTATATAATATCAAGCCCCTAGGCATGAAGACTGCTTCTACAAACATTTGTGAAAGAATGGGTCACTTTCAGGAGCTCAGTGAATTATCAGTGTGGTACTGTGATAGGTTGCCACCTGTGCATTAAGTCCTTCTGTGAAATTTCCTAGCTACTAAATATTCCACGTTCAACTGTTAGTGGTATTATAACAAAGTGGAGGCAACTAAAAACAACAGCAACTCGACCACAAAGTGATAGGCCACATAAAATGACAGAGCGGGTTCAGTGCATGCTGAAGCGCACAGTGGGCAGAAGTTGCCAACTGTCTGCAGATTCAATAGCTAAAGACCTCCAAACTTCATGTGGCCTTCCGATTAGCACAACAATAGTGCGTAGAGAGCTTCATGGAATGGGTTTGTCAGGGTCCTGTCCATGGCAGGAGTTCTGGAAGATCTGGCATTTCTGCCAGTACTCTACATGGCTGCAGAAGTACACAAGTCTAAGTCTGGTGCCAGATGGCCTTTATAAGGAGGCTCATCACTTCCTCTAGTTGCTGGATGATCTCTAGCTCCCTCTTCCTGGTTCCTGTTTCCTGTGATTCTGACTTGTGATTTCCTATTACCGACTGGGCTTGCTCCTGGACCTGTCTACTCTGATTTACCCCTGATCTGACCTTGGCTTGGCATACGGATACTCTTTCTCTCTCTCTCGCTCCTCTGTGAATGACCTCGGCTATCCCATCTGACTATGGCCACTATGATTCCCACCTGGTACCTGCCCTTGGCTTGAACTGACTACCCAGCAAACATCCAAATCCCGGAAGGGCTTGCATACCACACACAAACACCTCCTGTCTGCAGACCTATCTCCGTGCACAAGCTGTGCTTCCGAGTGGACCGCCAACCAGAACTCCTACAGGCGACCTGTGCAACTTTGGGCCAAACTCCCACTGTCCCACTCTCAGGGGAGTCCGGAACTTAGCCACAAGGGAAGCCCTCTCTCCATTGACCTCCATCACCAGGTACGTGATAGGGTTTCCATGGCCAAGCAGCTGCATCCAAGCCTTACATCACCAAGTTCAATGCAAAGCGTTGAATGCAGTGTCGTAAGGCACACTGCCGCTGGACTCCAGAGCAGTGGAGATGTGTTCTCTGGAGTGATGAATCACGCCTCTCTGTCTGGCAATCCGATGGACGTGTCTGGGTTTGGCGGTTGCCAGGAGAACGGTACTTGCCTGACTGCACTGTGCCAAGTGTAAAGTTTGGTGGAGGGGGATCATGGTGTGGGGTTGTTTTTCAGGGGTTGGGCTTGGCCCCTTAGTTTTAGTGAAGGAAACTCCTAAGGCATCAGCATACCAAGACATTTTGGACAATTTCATGCTCCCACCTTTGTGAGAACAGTTTGGGGATGGCCCCTTCCTGTTCCAACATGACTGTGGACCAGTGTACAAAGCAAGGTCCATAAAAATATGGATGAGTGAGTTTGGGGTGGAGGAACTTTTCTAGCGTGCACAGAGTCCTGACCTCATCCCGATAGAACACTTTTCAGATGAGAGGAGACTGTGAGCCAGGCCTTCTCGTCTGACATCAGTGCCTGACCTCACAAATGTGTTTCTGGAAAAATGGTCAAACATTCCCATAGACACCCTCCTAAACCTTGTGGACGGCCTTCCCAGAAGAGTTGAAGCTGTTATAGATGTAAAGGGCGGGCCAACTCAGTTTTGCTCCCCTACGGACTAAGACTGGGATACCATTAAAGTTCATGTGCGTGTAAAGGCAGGTGTCCCAATACATTTGGCAATATAGTGTATATCTGATAATCGATCAGTCCTGATGTACTGATGGCCAATCTCATTTCGTGAGGCCTGAAAATGCTAGGATAGTACAAATACCCCCCAAACGACCCATTTTTGGAAAATAGTCCAAAGTATAGTAAGAGGCATGGCGAGTTTTTTTTAAAGTTGTAGTTTTTTTGTTACAATTTTTTGGAAAATGAAGAAATTAAAAAAAAAAAATCACAATGTATTTTTTTTTACATATTGTCACCAATCCATTACAGTGTTATCATATAACTGGTGTGCCGGTGATCAGGGACAATGATTGATGACAGTATGTAAAAAATAATATAAATAATAATAATTGAATTTTTTTTCTATTATTTTTTTTTTTTATTAACCTCCCTAGCGGTCTGATTATGTCAGTATTTCTGTGCTCAAAGCAGTACATTATTTTGCATGGAAATATGTTGTTTTTTCATTGTAGGCCTGTAATTCTTAAGAATAACTCTCTGAAATCTGTCCGAACAAGAGTCTAGTAAACATCCCGGGTATGATAAAATTTGAAACACGAAATCATAAATTATAATATAATAAGTAATCATAAAAAATAATAATATAATAATAAATTTAATTCAATAATATAATCAAACCAAAAACACTGAAATGTGAAATATAGCGCCAAGTTCGCACATCACTGAGCTTAGTCGCAAAATCGTTTTCAGTGTCTGATGACGAATTTCCCCACAAATCATTATCACTCAATTCTGCAAGTGGTTCTAATTTACTATCACTGTTCCCTAGCTGGTCTAAAACTGCTTTTGACCTAAAGGGACGCTTTTTTGACGCCATGGACTTTTCTCAGTTTCCAGGCAGAAAGAACTGAAAGAAAATGCAGGCAGGGCACAGGACAAAGCACTCGGGACAAAATGTATGTGAAATGGTTTGATACAGTAATGTTATACTATGAGATTTTAGTGTATTGAGTGAATGTCACTTTTAAAATTTTTGAACGTCCTGACACTTGCAGAGAACAGAACCCGGAGAACGAATGCTGGCATCGGCCGGAGGAGATGGCTGGGGACGATGCAGGGGGGACATTGCGGGAGCGCATGACAAGGTAAGTGCTGGAGGGAATCCCTGAGCAATGCTGCAGGGTAATCCCGAGTGTAGCTCGGGGTTACTGCTTTTGGTACTGAAATTTTACCCCGAGCTACACTCGGGAATACCGCCAGGGGGGTTAAATCTTTTTACTATTTTTTTTTCAACACACTGTGACCAGAGCCATACAATGTTCTCATAGTAACATTGTGCTACTTTGGGCAAGTGATCAGGATTTTTTTTTTTTTTTACACATTTTGATTGCTAATACCAATGTATTTCCTTGATTTCAATCATTTTTACTAAATGAAACTAATTAATTTAGCCTTTTGTTGTGATTAACTGTGATTGGGCAAAGCTCATCACATGGTACATATGGGCTGTGATTGGCCCTGTCTGTGCTATGTGACCAATCACAGCTAACAA